GGGAAAAAGTTAATGAAATACTTACTCGAAGTTGAATTTTGTTGAGTGATAATTTTGCAATTTTATCATCCAAATCGATCATTTTTTCTTCCAAATATCGATTAGCATTAATTAATTTTGTCGCATATAAACGATCTTCCTCCAATTCTACAAGTTTTTAATATTTTCATAATTATCAATTATTAATTCTTTAATTTGTTAATTTAATTTCTTTAAAAACTTTTATTCCACTCAATTTTATTAATAAATATATTAGAGCATTATATTCATAATTCATCAATGTATAAATTGTTAAATTTTAAAATCCTTTGGAAAAATTTCTGTAATTTGAAGTTTAAATATCAAATTTTAGATGTTAGAAATGGAATTTTAAATGTCTAAAATAAATTTTGCCTATTTTTGCATTTTTAATTTTATAAAATTTCAATTAACAAATTTTAAAATTACCATACTTTTATCTTCCGCTTCATCATTTTGTGTGCGCAACAGCAATGATACAAAGCGTCGTACCACTCGAAGTGATGGCTTATCAGATGTTCCTATAAATTACAAAATTTTTCTTCAAGTATTTTTCTGTTTTTTTCCGATTTTTCTTACGGACAATTTTTCCGACAATAACTAAAAATTTTTCCTTATTCATAATGAATTCCACCACTCAATCTTTTATCTCTTCCTGGTATTTTTGTTCTTTTTGTCATTTCCAATCAAGAATTCCGTTTTTGGCTTCTTTCGATCGATCCTTATTTCCGCTTTTCACTTCCATTTTCTCAACTTATTGCACATCCAAATCGTTTTTTGACCACCTAATTTTCAACCAGGCTTGTTTGGCTCTTTTCTCCATTCATATTCATTCGGATTATTATTTTACTATAGACTATTTACTACATGCATCAGTGTTTCCGTTATGTTTATTTATTTCGATAACTTTTATTATTATTATTATTATTATTATTATTATTATTATTATTATTATTATTATTATTATTATTATTATTATTATTATTATTATTATTATTATTATTATTATTATTATTATTATTATTATTATTATTATTATTATTATTATTATTATTATTATTATTAT